CGGCGTGCCTCATTCAGCAGGCCATTCCCATTAGCCATTTCCCATACCAAACTTAACACACGCGTAGGTAGTTAACTGACAGAAATACTGGGGACTCGGAGCTGAAACTTGAACTTCTGGCCACTATAGGATTCCAAGGCAGCAAATGAAAAGAAAAATGAAGTCGATGCCTTTTGCCATGTCGGTGGATCAAAGCATAGGTTCCATACGCGTCTATCGTTTGTTTCCGACGAGTCAAAGTTCTGCGACGGCTTTTTGCACATGTTTTGTGTTGATCCATTGGCATGTCCGTATGTGTCTGGCTACCTACCAACAACCATAACGGTTCTGCCCCACGTCTCTGATCAGCATACGGCGTCGCAGGAGGTCTTAAGGTGAAACGGAGATCAATGGACTTCCATGTTTCGCCGAGATTCAAGTGCAGCTGAGAGGGTAGAGACGGCTGGAACCTCCAAAAGGCATAACACGTATGTGCTTCTCGGAGCGCTTCAAGACAACTCAATAATGGCGACACAAAATAAAAGGGTAAGCTTAGTGTACATGTATACGACGGAGTTGAATCGGTTTTGTGTAAGCGTAGTTCTTGTCTTTGTCTTAGCAATACAGCAGGGCCATGAGCGGCACTGTCAGGTAGAATTCCACAGGCGAGATAGACATCGGAGACGGCGATAGGGCTTGATTAGCAGGTGTCTAAGGGGGAGATTGTCGGTTGCGTGGTTCTTCACCTTCCTCCGCACTATATAAGAAATTATTGCAAGGTTTTTGGGTGTAAGATAGGGCTTAGGAACGCCTTGGGGGGATGCGAGACAGTTTGTGGTGCTTCTGCATTTTGTCCTGATGTGGAAGGAGTTGATGGTTTGTGGTCGGGCCAGGAAAAGACGACGGCTACGTTTGTCAGTGGCAGAACTAACAAAAGGATAGTCAAAGGACGTCATATCTTTGCTGTGAAGTCTCTGTAGACAGGGTGTAACATGACGAGAGGCGACGAGGTGCGAATAATAGAAAATGATGAAGACAAGATTCGCGAGGTTGGTGGGGAAATGGCGCCGAGAGCGGGACCAAAAAAGGGAGGTACATAGCAGGGGGGTAGCAGCCTACGACCGCTAAAAGAAGGCGAAAGTAGGTACCTAGGTACAAATATAGCAGACTGACTAGAATACCTACGCACGCCATAACATTTAACTTCATACCTGTCTCAGTGACAGCATTATCGTCTCCCCCCCCTCCCCTGAATCAAGCCCCAGGTCAATCAAAGAAGCTCTCGGCGTCCGCAGCGCTTTAAGTAAGCCTGACGACATCGAGTTTAATTACCCTACATCCCAACGTCCATCTTGCTTGGCCCATGTAGCATTTCGCCTGAGGATACAGCTTGCTCTCTTTCATCTGTCTGGCTGTTTATAGACCGTCCCACAACACAACAACACAACAACACAACAACACAACAACACAACAACACAACAACACAACAACACAACAACACAACAACACAACTCTAGCCCAGGTGACCCACTTAAAGATACGTATTTCTCCTCGCCAGGCCACGCAAAATTGTCCTGGCTACCTACCCAGAGATCCTTGACACACGACCCCACTCATCATTCTCGGTGGTTTTATGCCCTCTGCCACCGCGTGCGGCCGGATCCAAAGCCTTAGATTCCAAGTCGTTCCTGGTCCCTGAAACTGGATGGGTCCTCCACTGCATTGACCAAATAGCCCAAGGCACACACACCCACCCAAATGTGGTTACAAAGGTCCTTCGGCCCGATTTCGGAATATTCTTTAAGAGTGGCCAGCCTCCACTGCGTCCTTGTGCCACTTATAGCTTGACTTGTGACATCGCAGTCTCAGGCACGTTGTCTAGAAGCGTGCTTCGGGTAAGGAATGACATGGCACCTAGGGGGCTTTTCAAGCTTGACTGGAGTTGACATGCGTAGGGTATCGGGGGTATAAGGCCCTGATCTTATCGTTGCCAATCGCTAATTGTCAATCGCCAGGCTGATGTAAGCTGTGCATAAAGGTGCCCGGAAACCCTTCTAAACGCTTTTCTGGGCCGCTAAACCTCTTTTGGCTGTAGTCTTGCTGTCAGATCCGGTTGCTTCTCAGAGCTAGGTTTATACAATGTTCCTTTCTGAACCAGTGGCTAAGACAGACTGGATCAGGTATAACCTATGCTCATTGCCAGATTTTTGCTATATATCCTGGCATCCTGGAGACTGCTGCTAGTCCCCAGGATCTGATGCTAGAAGACTTGAACACTGTAATCTATACCGTTAGTGTTGTTGACTGTTACGCTACAGCCTATTGCGGCAGTACATTAACGGCTGGGTTAGTGGCAGAGTCAGTGGCGAAGTACCGCTGGTGATTGGCGATTGGCGATTAGCGATTGGCAACGAGAAGATCAGGGCCTAAGTCCCGCCGCGGATAGCGCGGCCCACTCGAGCCCTGTCCATAACAGGCAAGGAAGGTTGTTTCCACCACCAGTTTGATAGCGCCTTGCCATCATTTCGACAAGTCAACATCTTCACAAACACAACAATCGCCCCCTATGTTCTGCCGACCAACACCCGGTCCTAACTGCGGAGTGCGACGATAGCTTGGCTTGGCCAATCGTTTCTTCCTCTCAGGTATGTCTTGTTTCTTCCCACACGAAGCCCTCGACGCAAAATTGCTGCCCAGAAGCGCACCAGGGGCACCTCGACAACCTCAGGCGCACCGCGCAGGACCAGCCCACAAGGCATCCATTCCCACACATCGAGGGGGGGGAAGTCTTCACAATAACAAGTTGCAGGCATCTATAGAGTGACTATCTCGTCGTTAAAGGATCGGCTCGACAAGGCATTCGAACCCTACCCATACATGGACGGGAGCAGTTTTGAAAATGGAGAGTTGCAGGCGCCTATAGAGCGTCTTGTCAACGATCGTCAACGAGGTACGCACTTCTGTTTATTGATTTTAGGATGTCTTTTCTCGCTTGAATGCATCTCTATTATGACGGCTTACTTAGTTAGCCACAGAGTTGGTGCCGACTGCATTTCAATTCCACGCCGGTTCCAACCTTCGAAATACTCCCACGGTTACTTCCACATCCAAACGAGCCCAACTTGCTGACACTCCCGCCAAATTCAGTACATCAACAATACCTTCACCCACGACTGGCCTGATTTAGGCCGTCTTGGAGACTCTCTGTCCGTCGAAAGAAACTCGACACGACAGCCCCCGACGAAGCCTACCCCTCCCGATCAGTTCACCATCCTCGCATTGTCGCCCATTAGGGCCACAATCTGTCACAAAGCGCCACAGCTGGCACTTTTCCAATGCGTCAATGTCGCCGCAATTCATGATTGATATCCGACGCGATGGAATGGGAGGTGAGAACATGTGCGGCGGACATCGCCACGACTTGGACCATGGTCTCTGCGGATTGAAACGATCCGAACAGTTTTCAATCAACTGCAAAGAGGAGGACGGATGCAATCATCAATACCCAGGATGGATGGTAATTCTCAAGGGCAGTCTGTCAGTCTGACTCTGCGGTCCCACGATGCGCCCCACTCGTGGATCAGACAGAGCAAGGTTTACCATGGCTTCGCACAACGCTATTTTAGTCAGAGGCCACCGTTGGTTGCCTTTCTAAGCCCCGGAACCATCTTTGATTGGACGATTTGTCGCATCATCGTCCCAAGATACCACGTGTGATGGGTATACTACGTATTAGTTCGGCCCAAACCTTATGTCAACGTCTTGTCTGAGTGACCGAGGCCGTTCTGAATACCCGACAGCGATGTGACGAGACGCAGCGAGATATTGAAAGAAAGGGGTAGATGAAAGACACAACTAATATCTTGAAATGGATAAATAATACACAAAGCCATCGATTGTCGCCATCCATGCATGTCTTTGTGGCATCTCGAGGGTTGTGAGATTTTGCCAGTGACGGAATTTGCCATTCCACCCGCATTCGTCCTGTTCCACGTCATGGGTACGTATTTTCAGCGTCCAGTGCGGGAAATATGGCACAGTAAATTCAAAAATCAGTTCCCCGTGTGTTTTCACCACTTAAACATGGGCTCGAAATCATGGCACTCAGATGAGAGGGGAAGTCCCCTTCTGGATGAGGTGCAGAGATTTCAGCCAGGCGGTGTAGAAGTTCTGCCGGGCTATGAGTCACGTGACCTCCATCTAGGTGCCGCAACAACAGAATACATGAACGCGATGAAGAATGGCACAGCGACAAGGTGAGTGGATTTGGTATAAGGACTTTTACATTCTACGAACCTGCAATCTACCGAAAACTCCCTAGAACATGTCCCATGACACCACCCCGTTCCATCAGTCAGGTCTACAGGTGGCCAGCCTGCAAAACCCGACCTTCGAGACAAGGACATGCATCGGACAACCTCCAAGGGAAGCTCTTGACTCCCTACCAACCACCCAGACACCTATACCGCGTTGTCCTTTTTAAGACCAAAGGTGGTCTAACTGTACATTCACCTTCCTGGTGCACCCAAAGGGACAACCACACACCCAATCCCCCTTGCTTTGAGGTCTCGGGATGGTCTCCGCGTTCCACCCCCTCCAGTTAGTCGGATCTACGGTTGGCCAGTCCGCAAAACCCAACATTCAGGAGGAGACAGAAACAAGAGTTCGCACCCGGACGCAAAAAAGCAAGGTCTCGCGGCGATCAAAGCAGAGTCAACAACCTCCCAGCGGCTCAAGCCCCCCCCTTTAAAAGGGTAAGCGGCGCAGGGGAGTGTTTGTTGTCGACGTGATGATGCTGTCGCTCGGCGAGGAACAGAGGATGGGGCTCGGTTGAGGCAAAGACCGGCGGACCTGATGGAGTAGTTTGTTTGCAAGGTCTCGCGGCGATCAAAGCAAAGTCAACAACCTCCCCGCGGCTCAAGCCCCCCCCTTTAAAAGGGTAAGCGGCGCAGGGGAGTGTTTGGTGTCGACGTGATGATGCTGTCGCTCGGCGAGGGGTTGAATGGAATGGTTTGGCTCGGTTAAGGCGGACCGGTGGACCTGGGTGTTTGAGGTGGTTTGGTAAAGGCGCAGTTGAGGCAAGGACTGGCAGACCTGAAGATTTGTAGGTTGTTTAAAGTGGTTTGGTAAAGGCGCAGTTGAGGCAAGGACTGGCAGACCTGAAGATTTGTAGGTTGTTTGAAGTGGTTTGGTAAAGGCGCAGTTGAGGCAAGGACTGGCAGACCTGAAGATTTGTAGGTTGTTTGAAGTGGTTTGGTAAAGGCGCAGTTGAGGCAAGGACTGGCAGACCTGAAGATTTGTAGGTTGTTTGAAGTGGTTTGGTAAAGGCGCAGTTGAGGCAAGGACTGGCAGACCTGAAGATTTGTAGGTTGTTTAAAGTGGTTTGGTAAAGGCGCAGTTGAGGCAAGGACTGGCAGACCTGAAGATTTGTGGGTTGTTTTGATGGTGAAAAGCAGGGTGTGGTTATTTGCTTGGTTTGAAGAGGGGGGGGATTGAGTTGTAGATTGAGTTGTCGATTGGTTTGTCTGGTGATTTGATGAGACGCAGAAGATTTGTGTTGTTCTTGTCAGGTAGTAATGTTGCAACGGGATCCAAGTGGATCAAGATTGAGTCTCTCAACCCCAGAGATGGGTGGATGGCCAGAAGCAGAATGGTGAATGTGAAATACCGCAACGGTTTGCTTCACCACCCCATGGCCCGCAGCGGATTCCTCGTGTGGATAAGATGGCAGACAGGGCGGGCGTCAATGGACAGTAAATGGGAGGGCGGTTGACAAGCAACAGGAGGAGTGGTTACAGAGGCCGGGCGTCCCCAAGCCTCTGTTCAGCAATGCTCTCCTATTTCTCGCGAAATGCCAAAGAGAGAAAAGCAGCAGGACGACGGCTTTCGAAGCCAGCCACCCGTGGTTATAGTAGGAACATATTTGAAGGTCCTCCGCAGCAATGGATCGACCAAGATCAAGATTCGCTCGTAGGGCACAAGACGCGCAGCAGATAAGGGGGATGGATGTCTGACGTGCTACGCAGGTTCCAAAAGACACCGCTAGTTTCTCACATACTGCTCGCCTGAGCGTGCAGTCTTGAACGTGTAGGCGCTCAATTGAACGAATAGCCTCTATCCACGATAGTTTCAGTCAAGTCTGTGCCCAAGACTGAGTAGACGTGTACCCGTCTATGGAGGGTGCAGAGACTAGCGGTCAGCGACCAGAGATCTGAGATGTGAGGCCAGAGACGAGAGACCGATGGTATTGGACCTGTCCTGCGAGGCTTGAGACAATGAACTAGGCATCAGTGATGGGACGGACCTGAGACAAGAGACTAGATATGGTACCTGAGACTGGAGATTTGAGAACTGACATGGGAGACCAGGGAGAACTGACTTAAGACCGGGGACGAGACTGGCCTTTGAACGCCTCAGCCGTAGCACTTGAGACAAGAGACAAGAAACTTTAGCCCTAAGGTCTGAGACAGGAACCAGGGACATGAAGCCAGAGGCTAGATCAGAGACCAGAGATGAGAGCAACAGATGTGAGACCAGCTGTGGGAATTTTGTGACCTGAGACCAGGCACCAGAGACTACAGACTACACAGACTAGAGACCAGGTGAAAGGGGCAAGACGAGAGAGAAAAGACGGGAGCCGGGAGGTAAGAGACAAGAGAGAGGGGACAAGAGACAAGAGACAAGACCAGAGAACTTGAGGCAAACCGGCAGGTAGACACAACCACTAAACGGCAGATGACCACTGAAACCTGTTGCCTTTCACGCATCCTTGCCCCAGTCGTGCCGCCCAGCATAGCCGCGACCTCTGTTCTTCCTCCTGGCCTTTGAGATTCCGGCCCTCACATCCGCCCCTTCTGCATCCAATGAATGCTCGCGAGCCGACCGGGCCACTGAATTGTAACCGGCGCCGGGAAAACGCTCCTGCTCCTGGTTCTGCTCCCGATCCTGAGCCCCGCCAGTCTCCTTTCCCCCCTCGTCTTCCTCCTCCTCAGGTATCATGTTCGGCCGGTCGTCGGTGCTTCCCTCGGAGAGCGTCAGCTGGAGGAGGCGAGTCTTGAGTCTGATAGAGACGTGCCGCATCTCGCCGTGAAGATCCATCGCCTTGCTTGCCGCGGCTTTGTATTGTCGGTTGAGGTCTTGGAGGCGAGCGGCGTCCTCGTCGATGGAGGTCTGCAGTTCCCGGCGGTGGATGGCACTTGGCAAGAGGCCTTGTGGGTATGTGTGCGGCGATCGATGGTGGGAGCCCTGCGGTCGGCTCGCTGGCGATCTCGGCGTTTGGGGGGCGGGCTGGGGAACGTGGGACGATGGGCTCGCAGGCGCTGAGGCCATGTACGCACCGGGCATTTGGAAAGATGTTGGGGCGTTGCGAGATCGAGTTGCCATATCGTGGTCGAGGGCATCCTGTGTCCGCCGCATCCAATCTTCATACTGCGGCCTGTGCTGACTGAACTTCTTGGTCACCAGGGGTCTGGGTAAGAGGCGAAAGTTTGTCGGGAAGCTGATCATGTGACTCATATCGCTGAATCCATCGCTGCCAGACACAGATGCATGTTGGGTCGATTGACCCTCAGCAAAGGACGACACGCTGGCCTCGTCAGCAGTGTAGGCAGCCAACCATTGGATGAAGTCGTTCCGGTCGTTGGCATCGAGGGTGTCCTGGAGGCGGTGCTCGTTGATGTGAATAAAGAAGTCGTCGTCGTTTGTGAATTCGTCGCGACGGAATGCAGTTGACATGATGGTGGGGGATGCGCTGGATGTTGAATGGGGGAGATACGGTATGGGATCTGGAATGGGATACGGAATGGGAATGTCATGACTGCTGGAGAACGTGGAAGAAGGGGGCGAAAGGAAAACAAGACGAGACTCCCCTTCCATTCTCCAGACATGTGAGCGGCAAGACAAGCGGAACAGCGCAGGCCAAAGACATGGCAAATGCAAACAGTGGTTCCGGGATACGACGCGCCTCGTCCACACCGCCTGGCGCTCAGGCCATCATGATCCATCTCCTCCGTAGACGTACGCGTCTGTCTGTCCGTTTGTTTACATGACGGCCTGTTCCAACTTTTAACTTTTGAATCTGTCTTCCACAGCAGCGTGCGCCGCCAGCTCGACCGACGCTGGAATCTCCAAGGCAGCCCAACCTCCCAGCCTCCCTCCCTGTTTAACCAAGAGTCCATGTCGTGAGAGATGGATGATGACAGCAGCGCGCAGTCACTGTCAGTGCCACCGTCGATAGCGAAATGGAAGCTCACGAACCCCATTGAACCAGCTCCGCAAGACGAGAGAGATCAAAAGGTAAGTATCTCCGCGACCTGTCTCCCCTCCCCACTACTCTGCCGCGTCTCTGCAACGTGGTTGTTGACTAGAAAAAGAAGCTGAGTGTGCGGGCGTTTGCCTTTGTACTTGTTGTAGGACCACCTGTCATGGAGAATACGCGGTCGAGCTGTTGGCGACCTTGTTAGCAACACGAGATTGAAGTTGGCGTGGCGCGAATCCGACAAGATACTCATGAAGAGCTTCCTCGCATACTACCGACAATCCCCCTCTCAGCTCAGGTGTCTGGCAGAGATAGACAAGAGGACTGATGCGCAGTCTTTGGACCCGACGACAGCAACCGCGGCGGGGCAGCCGAGCTTGAGGAAGCTTGCGCAGCACATGTGCATCGACATAGACGCCTTGTCGCGTGCAAAGGCGTGGCCGTGCTTCAGCAAGAAAATGGTCTCCGCCATGACCTACACGTTGAAGCAGGCGGTGAACAACAGGCTTCTGCGAGAGGTGTTTGACCAGGAGAGGTGGACGAGTGTTTTGGACTGGCCGAACGAAGTGAGAGGCGCGTGGATCCATCCGGCGTGGACTGGCGATACTTCTACCACTCTGGAGCCGGACGAGCCGGACGAGCTCGACGAAGGCGCTCCACAGAGTGAAGATAGGGACGCGGGCCGGAGTGACGACCAGAACACGAGCCAGAGTCAAGACCGTTTGCAAGGTGATGATGAATCGCTACAATCAATATGTCATCTACGACGAAGACGACCACCACCACCACCACCACCCCCACGGAGACCGCCAACGCGGCGGCCGCCGCCAGCACCGTCACCTCCGCCGCCGCCTCCACCACTCACACCGTCGCGCCCACCACTTACACCACCGCTCAGTGGGCGTCGACACGATGAGCAACAATCGAACCCGACAGCATCACCACCCCTAGGAGAGAGGTCTCGGGGCTCGCCCATGAACGACCAACGTCCTCGCGAGCCGGTTTCGGGGCGACCGGCCAGCTCTGCCGCGGTGAGGCTGGCCAGGGCCGTCGATGAATTTGATCGACAGACAAGGCAAATATGGGAAGAGTCTCTGTCCGAGACGTCAGCATTTGTCGCATTGCTATGCGGACTTGGTGCAGCCGGGATTACCCGGCGGGACGTCATCCGAGGCCTAGCCCGTACATGGCCTGATATGCCTTGGATGCGATTGCATGGTGCGGCCAAGGCGGAAGAAGCATGGGCTCAATGGGAGAGAACCGCAGCCAGGGTTAGGCGTGAGATTACTCGGATGGAGAGCGAGGCCATGGATGGCAGGGCGGGTGAGGATGAGGCGTTGGGGTGGTGGTGGGCGAATCCAGCGGCAGAGCTGAGCTGGATCGTGGGCACTGGCGTCTAGGGGGTTCATTATATGTCTGTAGATCCGGCAAGGCTTCGTTCGTTAGTTGGGTCCCGACTTTACGCAGGAGGGACATGAAAAGTTTCAGCCAAGTCTTGCAAAGGCTGGTTCGACATTCTCTGCCTAACCTTGTGCATAAACTCGTCGTCGTCGTCATCATCATAATCACCATCAGGTGGTTTGTTGTGGTGTTTGATAGTTGGCCGTGGCAGCGGTGTTGTGTTGTGCTCTTGGAACCTTGTTTGCACAAACTTGGACGCGGCATCAAGTTCCTTGTGTAGGGCTACAGCCTCGTCTAAAGGATCAGGTGTGTAAAGAGTGTGGTAGACGTGGATATCAAAGAGCCCTGACCTGTCGGGGGACACGACAGTGGCCGTTGTTGTATTGAGTGCACCCACTACGATATCAGACAATGCAGCAGACAAGTTGGCTGCTAGCAGACACGTGTGAACCATGCCGGCGGCCGAGGATCCCAAGGACGCGATGACAGGTGTAAGCAGGTTCGTCCGGTGCGAGGTGAGAAGGTCAAGACCAGCCTGGATGGCTGCGACCTCCGGTTGTCCGTCCCGACGGGTACTCTCGGGCGCGGCAGAGCGTCGAAGCAGACGGTCAAGCCAACCGGTCCCAGAAACTTCAGGCGAAGTTGAAGACGGTCTGCAGGTGTTGGGTGCGTAGAGGCCTTGGGCGACGAGAAGGTCAGCGAGTTCGTCAATACCAGTGGCGAATTCGACGAGTTGACGCGTCAAGGCAAAGACAAGGCCCTCTGAGGGAAGGTCGGGATACGCCACGTCGTCAGCCTCTGTAAAGGGGTGCATGTTGCCAGGGTATATGGGTTCGCCATCCAAGTCAATGTAGGGGTTTCGTAGGATATTGTATCGCTTTGCAGATTGGGCCGTAGCCCAAGCCGTGAGGTATGAGACGAAGGGTTTTTGTCGATCGGGGTCGGGGTGTTGTTGGTCGACGGCCACGAGGTTGGGGTTCGTATCGGTGAAGAGTCGGGAGAAATCGGGCAAGCAGGCAAAGTGCCAAGTGGTTACAGGAGGGAGGGCGGGAATGTCACCAGCGGCAGGTTCTGGGGTTTCGGAGCGATCAGCGGCAGCAGGTGCGCAAAGCTGGCAGGCTGACAGCCAAGGGGCTCGGTCGCCAACATTGTCAAGGACCCCGAGACGAAAGGATTGAGCAAAGGCGGTGTGGTCACGGTGGATCTCTGCGGCAGCCAGGTCGAGGAGACGGGCAGTGTATGCAAGGGTACGCAGAGCGAGGTCAGCATCAAGGTTCGGGTGCAGACGACGCCAAAGGGAGAGTATGTGACCGATGCGTTTGGTGAGAAGGCCACAGGTGAGCTGGATGTCTTGCTGATGGCGGAGAGTGGAGGAGGAACCAAAGACCAGGGAAATATTGTGGCAGGTATGTGCAAGGGTGGTGTAGAGGGCGTAGAAGCCGGGCTCCGGCGGGACCATGGCCTTGGTGTCGTGGAGGGAGGACAGGAGACTCAGATGGAGGCGTTGGAGAGGCAGGAGGGTCTCATGAAGGGCCAGGGAACGAGATGTATTGGAAAAGAAGAGGCGATGACGCTGATTAAGGGCAGGGGTGAGCAGGGGGGGGCACGCGAATAAGGCAGAGATGTGGCAGCGGTGGATGTTGTGAAGAGGGTGGCGAGATAGTAACCAATTGCCAAACATGCAAGGGTGTATAGGACGCAGAGGGAGGCAGGGACACGGCAGGGGGCTGTAGGTTGTTTTGTTCGGGGTTCTGTAAGATCGAGGATATTGGGGATCTCGTGGACATAGAAGGGTGGCTTCGGAGTCGGGAGGGGGGCAGGACTGGCAGTCCAGGTGAGGTTATCGTGGGAGAGATGGATCGAGATGGAATGTGGAGGGGTTGTGGTTGGGGCGGCGGCGGCGTGGAAGCACAGCTCAATGGACCGGACATGGTGTGACTTGGGGGGAGGGGAGGCATCGTGGTCGTGAGTATGGTGGTCGTGGTCGTGGTCGTGGTCGCGGTCACGGTCGTGATCATGGGTGTCGTGGGTGTCATGATGGTCGTGATGGTCGTGATGGTCGTGAAAATCGGCATGGACGTCAAGACCGTCGTGGCCGTGGTCGCGGTGGAGAAGACGGTTGGCGACGGCGCTGGCTGCTAAAGGGCTGTCAGTGTCTTGATGAATAGGGAGCTGCAGCTGCTTCTGCTGGTGTGGAGAGGTAAGACGAGGCAGACCGCAGGTAGAAGCATCTTGTTGGGCGCCAGCGTCGGCGTCATCGGCATAAGAGAGAAGAGAAGGGTGGTTGGGTAATCGGGCGGAAAATCGAAGGACGGTAAAGCCGTCGCGTGGGTGCGTCATGGTTTGAGGATGGAAAAAGAGTCGAGTTTGAAGGAGACAGACAGGACGAGACGGGAAGAGAAGGGGTGAAAAGAGATGAGACGAAACGAAAGCATTACGGTGCAACAGGTCAGTCATGCGGAAGCTTCAGTGAAACGGAGAAGAAAACGAGAAAAAGAGACACGGTCGCAATCAATGAATAGGAGGGGAGCAAGAGAAAACAATGAAAACAAGAGAAAACAAAACAAAACGGGGGGGGAGGACAAACATGTTTGTAAAACCCACGTCGCCCCATGTAGGTAAGTAGGTAGGTAGGTACCGGTACATAGCCCAACGTGTCTAGCGCGCAATCTTATTGCTTATCGATCGGAGCTAAGCAAGACTAGTCGATCCTGGAGGGCGGCGGCAGAGATCTGCTGGTTACATAATCAGCAATGAGGCATTCACTACTACGAAGTAGGCTTAGCTGGCACCTAGGTAGCCTAGGTACCCACAATCGTATCGCTTATCGATCAGAGCTAAGCAAGACTGGCATTCAGTAGGTACTACGAAGTAGGCTTAGCACTTAGGTAGCCTAGGTGTCCACCACCCACCCACATGGTAAAGTAGATGTGGGTGATCTGGACCAATCAAGGAGAGTAAGCGGGGAACTGCAGTGGAAAAATCCCTGACAGTTCGCAACTGGTAGGTGTAGTAGCATCCCAAAGAATACAAGCGCACGGTTATATGGGTGGGTACTGTACTCTATACCAGCCGTAAATAGCCATTCAATGAAGCTACTTGCAACCCCGCAATATCGCCCTACCTGGTTGAACAAAACAATCGTCACCACAAACACTATCACCACCATTATTCCTGTCGCGGCTTACACCCTCGATACACCAGAGTGTACCACTGGTAAAACCCCTCCAGCGTTTCGTCGTCTACATCGTCGTCGCCCTGGCTAACCCCGTCCGTCTCCCTCTCAGTCCCCAAGCCGACAACCCTTTCACTCCGACCCGATTGTTGTCTACTATCCTGTAAAGCGGAACCTTGGTTCTTTGTCTTGGCCACCTGCGGTGCGGCCGTTATTCCAGCAGCGGCGCCCGCATCGTCTTCACGTCCACCCGGAGCGTCTCGTCGTTGACCGGCAGCCGTGTGACTCCCAATCCTCCCAATCTGGTCGACGTCACCGGCAGCTGCGTCGACTGGTCTCTTGGCCGCCTGTGTCTCATCGACCCATTCCTTTCGCCATCCACTAAATGTACCCTTCAAATAGCCGGAGAAGAACTTGTTGCTCCTCCAGCTGGGTAACCAGTCGTCCTCCCCTTCCTCTGTCGCCGCTTGGTCTTTCCAGCCCAAGTGCTCAAGATAGGCAAAGTCCGGGTCGACACTCTTCAACACGTCAATTGTCTCGTCATTTGGCGTCTTGTTGACAAGATCCTGGTACTTGCGCCACACCATACGCGCGCGCTCGCGTCGGTCGACTCTTGTCCTGTTCTGGCTGGCATGCGCTGCTACCGCATTTCGCCCTGCCTCGTCTTCGTTTCGATGTTTCCTCGCCAACTCGACGATGCTACCTGCTCAGAAATTGCGTCGTCAGCAACAACTGGCCTCAAGCACAGACAGGCGGACCTAGGTGCAGGACACACTTACTGCTCTTGTCGGTCACGACGCTTGTATAAATGGCGTCGGCCATGTTGTTCGCTATTGGTGAAGTAGCTGTGGTGCTGGCTACGGCGCGAATGGTTGGTATTGTGTAATTACGAACGTCTCCTGGGTCCGTACATGTAGTTGTCATGTTTTTGGTCGGTCCCACGCTATTCCTTTCTGGTTCCAACTCCCACGCACAATTCCACTCGGCCCGATTCTATCCAATTTCCACACGGTTTCCGTTTGTCTTATAACCAACTAAAACCCATTGATTGAGAACGACGGCGGCTGTATGGATCAAGGCCGCTACTGGGGGCGAAGACTAAAAGACAGACACAGGGGTGGAAAACGTCAAATGCGACCAATGATGAAAATGATAATGACAAACAAATAACTCGCCAATCCTAGACCCTTCCCCCCCCCCCTGTCCTGTCCGTCTAATCTCGCTTGACCAAACGAAACCAAACCAAACCTCATCATGATGTGCCCTTGTGTCTGTCTGTCTGTCTGTTTGAAGCCGCCTGACGGAGACAGACGGCTCACCCGCTGCGAACCATCCAGCCCCTGTCGCGCCACAAGTTCCCACAGACAACCTCTTCCGCTTTCAAACGCTGGCTGTATCTCTTGTTGTGCGCCTCAACATGGGTCATGTAAAACGACCTGGCCGCATCGTCGACGAGCATCTGCGCCACGACGTAGCTGGCGTCTACGACGCCGTTATCTTCCTTGTCGTATGTCAACCCCTCGCCGTCGGCCCCTTGGGCTTGGCCGTGCTGTTGGTTTTTGGCCCATTTGCGGCTACGAATCTCACTGGCGGCGCTTTCGACCACCCTCTCCAGCTCCGTGTGCGCCGACGACCCCGGAAACGCAAGGCTCTGCGGGTAGAAGGGCGTGGCCCTGGAATCCAGCCGGAAGAACTCAAACGGCGTCGGCGCCGTATGCGGGTTGTTGCGCCGTAACAGCCGAAGGGCGTGTATTGCGGCACACACGTGCACATTGGCCTCGTCGTACATGCTCTCTCCGTCCAAAGCCCGAACGGGCGGCTTGTAGATGGGCTTTGTCTCGGATTCGTCCGTCAGGGCGCGAAGATAGGGAAAAACGACGTGTCTGAATATGAGAGCGCCGGCAATCATTTGTACTACGGCAAAGAATAGCCGCATTGTGGTTTCTCAACTATGGGCGTTGACGATCAGGAGGTTGAGGTAGCGTGTATAGATGGACTAGGAAGTGCTGCTCCGCCAGGCGAGACGGGCTTATTGCGCAATTGCTATTATATAGATACCTAGTAGCAGCGCCGCCTCCTGTTCACGGACAACGACTGCGACTGCTTTAACTCTCCAGTATGTCATGGTTATAGCTGATGCCAAAGACAACCAATGCCGAACGGCCTTGCGACGTGGCTCCGGCGAGCGATTCTTTGAGAACCTTTGACGGGCTTGGGTCTGTGAGCTTCTGTCACCGCCTCACGGGCCTGCCTTGGAGGCTCCATTGTGGTTTTCCGTCCTATCCCCGTCGGCGGCTGCGGTCCAAGCGGCTTGGGCCTTCCTGTTAGTTGGTCACAAAGATGAGAACAGATGTAAAAAGAGGGAGATAGGGGTTCGTTCTGTCGTATGTCATATCCCGTGGCATCTGGCCTGACGCCTGTCTTGCTGTCGCCAAATGGATGCGTGGTAGTTCTGGAGTCTGCGCCTCGCTTCGCTACTCTGTGAATACACAGGCTCTGAGCTTGCCTGCCGCACAATAAAAAGGAGAGCATTGTTTGCGAGATTCGGCAAAGTTAGCTTCATTTCGTCACCATACTCCTTTCTATTCTTGGCCCCGGTATCAGTGTATCTCGTTGTACGCCATCGTGAGAACAAAACCAGTACGCACAAGACTCTCGCCCCTCACCCTGGGCGTAAGGCGTCATATTTCAGCCACGAACTAGGCTTTTCCAATATATAGCTCTAAACGCATTAGGGCCCTTATCTGGACATAGGTGTGTATACCCTCCCCGTCCAAGAAGCGTTGATACTGTAATAGCGAGCGGATCCCTGCTGCATCTCTAGGTATGGGTCCGAAAGACAATGAAGCCTCCAGGCTGGAGAGGATGATGCGAAAGGCGGATCGTAGGATGCGTAGGGGCGGCGTCCATCATTCCGACCATGACCCCGCCGACGCCGCCTCGTTCAACTCTGACAATGTGCCTTCGACTGGACACAACAGTGATGTGAGACACGAACACGCATCACCCGCTGCCCTGTCCGACTCGAACGAACCCGTTCGAATCCTCCCGCCAAAGTCCAGGAAGCCCGTCAGCCATCGCCATAGGGGACGAGCCTCAGCAGACGACCGTCCCAAACGGTCCCCGTCCCCCTCCCAAGAGATACCAACGACCGGGACTGCGGCTGAGCGCTATCTCTGGCTCGTCAATCTCGCCGTCGGCCCCATGTGGATCGCCTGGTGGCTGGCACGCACCATATGGCGGTACTCTCCCCCGATCTGGGCTGTTGGACTGCTGCTCGCTTTAGTTCTTGTCATCGGTGTGACGGTCACTTTCTTGGACTGGGTATCTGTCGCCCCTGGCCTGGGAGCTGTGGTGTCCGGCGCAGCGAGTCTGACCCGGTTCCTCACCGGCTGGGGCAGCCGGAGTGATAATGTTGAAGCCTGGGTCTCGGACACGGTGAAATGGCCAAAGAACGCCGAACTGGCCGTATATAAGCAATCCGGCGACATGTACGGCAGTCTTCAGTATCTAGAACGCAGCGCCGGCGGGCTCGCAGGGGAGGTCATGCAGCAGTGCCTCGAGGGCCACATGCGCTTGAAGGAACGCGAGACCAGACCCGACGCAGGAGTCGATGATGCCGCCACGCCAAACTCACTCTCGATCAAGACCTACTTGGACGACACTCGCTCTACTATCAGACATATGAGCGCCGCGGACCAGAGATTCGTCGATGACGTAGCCCGCGTCCTGCGACACGGCTATCGAGATGCCCTAATCGTCAAGCGACAGCTGATGTTGACTATTTCCGAGCGGGCGACCCTGCCCGGCAAAGGGTTGTTGATAACCACCTTCTGGGTTCCCGTCAAGCATCTGCTTCCTTCGTCCACAGTCGGCATGTGGCTCCGTGGCGAGCTCGGGTACAAGCGGGAAGCTGCCCATCAGGGCGACAGGCTTGGAAGAAGTATTAGCTACGTAGCCGACAACCTGCCTATTCTCCTGCGCATGTTTGACAGCGGCGATGACCTCGGTAGTTCTGTCATGCTTCAGGACCGCATGGCCGGGCTCTACGACGTGCTCCAAGAGGCGGTCCATGTGGGACAGCACATGTTGGCTGCCGGCAAAAGGGACCAAGCGGCTAAGGCTAGGACGGATATCTCGGTGGCGCAGGGTGCTCGGGGTCTCGAGGCCCTTGGCGATGCTACGTGGGCCCTCCAGACGTACCAGGCCATCGGGCTAACTTTGAAAATCAAGGCCAAGAAGGCGGCCGCCGACTACCAGACCCAATACTCAATGATGCTTGACTTCCAGACGGAGCTGGGCCGAACCAGCGCCGACCTCCAGGGTATCATGGAGGAGCTCGACAAGGCAACGCAGATGACGCACGTGACGGAGGCGAACAAAGGTCTCTTCCATATAGCTGATGCTTTTGTTGGCAGTATAGAGAAGACCTTTTTCCCTGAATAACCGACCTGGCCTACCTTGGTGGGCTAGCGGGGACAAACGAGGCTGGTGTTGTTGTTTTCGCTCCTGGGGGGGTGGGAGGGCGGTCGGCTGTGTCGGATGAGAAAGAATGAACGGGTGGAGCAGACATCAAGACATACAGAGCGGGACGTCGGTGCTCTGGTTCCAATCCCTTCGGGATGCAAGATTGAGTTGCGGTGTCAGTGGCTCAGATTTCCTTTCTTCCTTCTTTTCCCCTCCTTGTTCTGTATGATGATGTGTTTGTGGGGACTTCTGGAAAAGAAAGAAGAGAAAGTAAATTATTCAAAAGGCTGTTGGTAGCGATGTGGAGAGACTTGGGGATAGACTTGGATTCTGTTTTGGTCAAACGTGTTACATGGATTTATCATCATCTGCTGTTCTGGTCAGAAAGCCAGATACCTCCTCGCTTCTAGGTCAATCGATTGCCTGTGCCTCTGACGAATGGAGCTCGTTCACCCTGTCTACGCGGATGGAGTTGTTGAATTGGCGTCGCGGAAGTCTGCATTGGCAGTATTGCTATGTCTGGAACGGCGAGAACCATTGCACAGGAGCTTTTCACTGCAGCGGTCCCTGCTCAAATTGCCTTTCCCAGCCGTGGGTGTTGGTAACAATGGCTGTGGACAGGGACATGCTCGAGATCTTCATGGACAAGTGTGGAAAGAAGCAATCCTGCTAGCAAAAAAGATGTATTGTTGGTGACAGGTTGAATGTCGCTGGGGAGTAAGAGAAGAGACGCGTGACTGGGATGATGATGATTGTCAGCTGGGGAACACAGTGTGGAAATATGTGAGGACTCGGATTACCTTGCGGCATGGCCTGGCGCAGGACGTCTTGGGTGACCAATAAATAGGCTGTGAATGGTTTGGAATGCGTGGCGTTGGGAGGACTTGGTACGTGTTGACGGTTTGGTCGTCGGGCCTGAGCTCCAAGTTCCTCGTGAACCACGAGGGGGCCTAAAGCATCGGGTGAAGCGATGGACGCCGTACACTGTCTGACCCATCAACATGATGGTGTTCAAGCGAGGCGCTCCAACGGTTGAGGTTTTTTGTGCAGATACCGCGGTTCTTGTCGCATGATGGGTGACGAGTGTTTGGGACGAAGGAGGTTTTGATTAACCCATGGTGAATCCATGATCTTGTCGTTGGACTAGACGAGGCCATGATAACGGGATCGAGAGCGACTAGGGCCGTTGTCGAAGATGGAAGATGTGTCGTCGAAAAGGGGAACTCAGATTTGACGGACATGTGAGGAAAACAGTTGTCCATTTTGATCTGGACCGTAGCATGGCCGTAGTTACTGGACGCCGGGGTCTCGTCGTCGCGGTTGTAGGAGAATACTCCATCGTCGGGGGTTTTGGTTGGTAATTATTCTGCTAGCAGTCGTGTCAGTCCCATGCCTACCTACCTAGGTACCCAGGTACCTGAGGGGTAGGGTGGATAGGTACCTGTAGCCTGCCATAAGGACACCCTAACTAGAGAGCTTCGACGAAGCCAGCGTCCTTGGTACAGCAGCTAGCTTTATTGCTTACCTGTTCCAGACCGCGCCCTAGACACCCTCTTTCTGCGTGAGCGACTGAGCCTGGTATTACCTTGTTGAGATGGTGCTACCAAGGAGCTACGGAATATCCTACCCTTGATAGACCCTTTTGTGAGCTGCTGGCTGCGCTCCTGGCCTGGGATGGGATACTTGATAGACGGCGGGAGGTGTGAACGCTTAACTAACTAAAGCGGTTGGCATAAATACTCTCTATGTCGAGGAGGCCCCTGAGTCCTGCCTTGCTGGCTAAGCATTGAGCGCTGGCTCTCTAAAGCACTCTGGTGTGGTGGTGGACAGAGAAAAGGGTGTAAATCTATATGTTTATGTTGTAACTGATGATTCCCTGTTAGGACTATAGGAGGACCGCACGCAGTAATGGTTCGCGGACTTGGAGACTGTTGAGCGTCTTGCGATTACATAGCAACTGGCGCACTGCGGTGCTTGACTACTTGCCACTATCTATCTATTGTCCCTATTTTAGCCCTTTTATTTAACTTATTGCGCTTTTAGCTGACCTTGCCCCTAGGACTATGGCCTACGCCAAATCAACGACTGTGAGCATCCTTGGCAGAAAGCCCCTTCTTCTTTCCCTATGCAACAGGACCATGTACTTGTTTGATCAAGCGGCTCCTAGGCGCGTATGTTCGAGAGCTCTGTTGAGTTGGCTTCAATTGCGTTGAAAGGGATGCGGATTGAGCGCGTAGTCGATGGCGGAGTAGGAAGAGGCGAGCCATGGCTATTAAGAGAAGCGAGCCGCCAGTCAGTAAATGGAAGGGGGAAAAGAGATGGATGTCTGGTAGTGGTGGCGGCTGCGGCGGCGTCATAACGTACCTGGCGCGAGTGCGCATGCGGCTAAGCGGAGGAGCGCTCACAAATGTGTCACCGGTCAAGTGGCCCTCTAATTCGACCAAGCTAGCGGCCTTGCCTTGCAGCTTGTGTTACATGTAACCCCCGCCTCCCAAGTCGGTTTGGCTATTGATTCTTAATGCTTTGGGGACAGCCGATTGCCGCCATTTATTTAATCCCACATACATTCTGAACGACGTGTGTGCCGATCTCTCCTAGAATCTCTGCGACTGTCGAGCGCACTGCAAGCGTGCTGCATCACAAAATCCCTTCTCCAAAGCAGAGTTCTCCCGAGAAAAAGACAACAGCGACTACTATTCCCAAGCAACAACCACACCTTCACAGTCGACGCAGCCCAAATCCCGGACGTGCAGAACCATGAGTGACCAAGAAACCCCTCGCAAGAGGCAGTGTCTACCTGATACTGGGGATACTCCTTGTACTGTGTGATAACTTGTGGTAGACCCATTGGGGGGGGGGGACAGTTGGTCGGATCAAAGCCGTTCCTCATCGTAGCCTACAGGATTGTTCTGGCAATCCGGTCTTATCTCGAATGATGGTCTAGTTCACTATATTCAATAGGCCCTAGGTTCCATCAACACTTCCTAGCGCGAGCTGATGCAGCACGCTGGCAGGAATACACAGATCAGTCGAGGGAGAGCGCCGTACTTCTTCACAAGCTTGCTGCCATCTGGGCCAATGCCTTGTCCATGCCGTCCTCGCTTTGCCGATACAATCTTGGGGTAGCTGTCCAATTCCTATTGTGCGTGCAAAGAATATCAAAGCTTGCCTATTTGCCCGCGCGCGCCTTTCTCTTCGTTAGGCTTACAAATGGCGGAACCTCTTGCTTGTGCTTCACGCTCTTGAGCCTAGCGCAAGGCCTGCACAGCGACTGTCCTCCTCTTGCTCTGGGCAAAAGGGGAGAGGGGTGGTGCAGGGTTGTAGTCGCAGAAAGAGTCGGTGTCGTGAGAGCTTCCAGCGTCAACGATGCGATGCCCGCTTCTTGATCTCCAGAACCTTCTCGGCGCGAGGAACGGCTTCATCTTCGAAAGGCTGAATAAGCTGCGGTTTCTTCGCCGTGGCGGGGTACAAGACGGAATTGGTGCGCAACTAGGATCGGATCAGTCAAGAGTCCTACCAGTCCATCGCCCAGCCTCATCATACTAGACGCATGCCGGTCACGATCCGCCCGGCGCTTGGCCACATGGCACAGCGAGGTTGCTCCATGGGCTGAAACCATTGTCTTCGAGGTGCAAGGCAGGGGTACCGCCCACTGATCGACGGACGAGGAACGTTGTCAAAGGACGGGTAGAAGGCGAAAGGCGAACTCAAGCGTTGCTACAACGCCGGGACGATTGAAGGTGTGGCAGAGAGAGAGAATGCTGCTGCTGCGTCGCTGGCTTGGAAGGTGACAACAGGGGGGTCGCGAGGGAGTAAGACTAATAAATATGCAAGCAGCGCGGGAGCTGCAAGCCTGCAAGACACGTTTTTCGTCAAATCGACCTAGGTGAATTGGTACATAGATCAACCCAACCAACCGCTCTGTAATATCGCATACCTAGTCGAGGTACGGATACATCAAGTTTTTGCGGGCGGGCCCACTGTGTGGCTGTGACGGTGGGGCTTGCTGGCTGACTGCCACAAGCGGTTAGCTGGGTCGATCTACCAAAGTACCTAAGTGCCTGGGTCGATTTAGGAAATGTATATCGACCCAACTAACCACCACTTTGCGGTTAGCTGGGTCGATCTACCAAAGTACCTAAGTGCCTGGGTCGATTTAGGAAATGTATATTGACCTAACTAACTACCACTTTGCGGTTAGCTGGGTCGATCTACCAAAGTACCTAAGTGCCTGGGTCGATTTAGGAAATGTATATCGACCCAACTAACCACCACTTTGGGTAGCCAACCCACCATTACACTTACGCAGTGAGCCCACCCACAAAATCTCAATGTACTTTGATCACGTAGGCTTCACGGCCCCAACGGCGAAACTAAGGAAACTGGCCCTCCCTATTGGGGCTGCGGGGCGTATTTACTAAAAGTGGTTAGTCGGGTCGATATACCAAAACGCCTAGGTCGAAATACCCATACTCAGAATGTAGTCTTGCTAGCACTGAAATGGGTTGCTCCCATGTTCAATGGGATAGCACTAGTGGTTTAACACATTGGGCACATTAGGGACCCAGTTGCCGGGGCCCACCTTCTCGGCCCGAGGTGCCCAGGTATCTAGGGAGTACGATAAGGAGTCGAGCAGGACACGATAAGACATCACAGCTGGTACTGAAGACTTACTCACGTTCTATAGTACAGCAAGAAACCAAGGCTCAGCACTGCTCATAAATGGATGGCCCCTCTACATATCAAACAGGCACACAAGATTACTAGCCGCCGAGGTCTAGACGTCGCTGTCATGATGTGGATTGTCGGTGCAAGATTGTAGATAGATATGATGAAATATTTGCTACAGAATTAAGTTATACTACTAATTAGGGCGGTGGTGCGTGTGCACGTAGAGTGCGTGAGGTCTGTCATAGAGCGTCCTATGGTGAAGCCGGTGTTAGATAGAGCGGTCGGGATTGACTCTTGGGTTGCTATGTCTACGTGCTTAGATAATACGTACCGCCTAGGTGCATATGTACCCACGCTAAGGGCGCTGTGGCGGACGGCAGGCACCATAGGAGCCCACTTTTGGGCTCCCTCATGGGCTCCCGGCAGGCCAGCCCAAGGTACCTACCTAACTGCTAAACTATCTGCTATATGACCTCCTTCCCCCAAACAGGTAGTCGCCATAGGAGCCCACTTTTGGGCTCCCTCATGGGCTCCCTCATGGGCTCCCTCATGGGCTCCCACTTAGGCTAACGGCAAGGCCAGCCCAAGGTACCTTCCTAACTGCTAAACTATCTGCTATGTAACCTCCTCCCCCCCTCATGGGCTCCCTCATGGGCTCCCTCATGGGCTCCCGGCAGGCCAGCCCAAGGTACCTACCTAACTGCTAAACTATCCGCTATATGACCTCCTTCCCCTAAACAGGTAGTCGCTGTGTGTGCAGTTAACCAACTCTTTTTTCTATCCGCTGTCGTCGCTAATCAATCTCGACCCCCGTTTTTTCTCCCTCTTCCACACTTTCTTCCTTATTGATCAATCGCTCCCCCATGACGCTCCTCAACGCCCTTCCCCCAAACAGGTAGTCGCCGTGCGTGCAGTTAAGCGACTCTTTTTTCTATCTGCTGTCGTCGCCAATCAATCTCGACCCCCGTTTTTTCTCCCTCTTCCACACTTTCTTCCTTATTGATCAATCGATCCCCCATGACGCTCCTCGACACCCTCAAAGAGCTTAACTCCAACGGCAAACTCTGCCCCGAAAACGCCCTTATCCGGCTCTAGAAGCGGCTGGAGGATGAGTTCGCCCTTGATCCTGCTCACGCCGGCGCCGACTTCCGCCCCTGGGCGTTTGAGAACGTCGTCCTCACCATACTGAACATCGTCAACGACCAACTCTTTTCCAAGTCTATCGAAGCCGTTAGCGGAAACGTCAGTCGACGTTGGAATAAAGCCCTTCGCCACTATAACATTTCTCTTGGTGCCCTTGCTTTCCTCTTTGGCGACACCATTATTGCCTCCCGTCCTTGCGCCGAAGCCACCACTAAGCTCTGCAAAAGCCACCCCGCCAACAGCATAATTGATCTCTACCTTACTTACCGGGCCCAGTGTTTGATTGGCCAAGTCAGTCAGAAAGCCGCCGTCAAGCGCTTCCGCCAAGCCATCCAATCGAGTACGTTGCACTTGCCCCGATCCTCTCACTCTTCTCTCCAACTCATACTGACTCGCTTGCTTGCCTCTCTACCTATAGTCAGTCAACACGCATGGCCTCTCAAGCACAGCCAGCCAAAGGGTAAACGAGCAGCCACTGCTTCCGACGACGCAAACGCTTCAGACACAGATATGCACACTGATATTGGGCCCCAAGCCCCAAGTCGCGTTTCCGAGTCCCCCGATTGTGAGCGCAGGTCACAATCACTGGGCCTCTCCTCCCCCGCTGTGTCGCCAATTTCAGGAATGCAAAACGAGGCCGACTTCCCCCACGAGCCGCCAAGACTCCTCCACCACTTGCCGACGTCGAAGCATCCAATGAACACGACTGTGGCAGCACCTTTCTTGATGCTAATAAAACGCCTGCTTCTGACGTCGCCCAAGACGATCTCCTACAGCCCGTGACTTAGGGAAACGACGGCGACGATGATCACAACGGCGGCGACTATAACCTATCAACTATCCCTGAATGGTCACTTGAAGACGAGGGCATGGCTTTGGCACACCCAGCCGTAAACAGCCAGAAGCTGACTGCCTTTGACGAAAGCCACGACGGCCCCCCCAGTTCCGAGGCGGCGCCGCAATATGCGCATCTTGCTTCCGACGAGCGTAGCCCCTTTCAATTCAACTCCATCGCTTTACCAAGCAGCATCGATTGCAAGCCTCGATACAAGCATCAGCGCTCTCTCAGCAACACCGGATTTATTGTCTCCCCGTGTGCATTTGAGCCACTGGAAAGGCCTACCAAGCTTCCTCGTATCTCCGTGATTCCTGCTGCGCCTAAAACCGCGCACTACACGTCGCGCAGCAGAATACGACGAGTCGATCTACAAGACATCCTGCAAAGTGCCTCCAGGTTAGACGGAGCCACCTGGCTCAACGATACCGTCATGCAAACCATTAGCCAGAGGCTTGAGTCTACAACCGTCGGTATTATTCACAGCCTAACAATCGCCGCCAAGCAAGTGACGGAACGAGGGCGTCTACAGCTACAGACAACCATAGCCAAGAGCAAGGTTCTCCTCTTCTTGAACCATAACAGAGACCACTGGATTCTCTTCCTCTGGGAACCGGTTCGAAACCTTGTCACCGAGTTCAATTCCATTTCTACAGTCTCGTCAAACGCCCCGTCTGCCGACCCGTCTACCGCATCACCTGCAGATGCACCCAGCCAAACCGTGTTAACCTTTTTGCGGTGGGTTACCAACGATGCCAGTCTTCAGGTTACATTGCAAAAAGCCAAGGTACGCCAGTATCCCCAACCTATTATATGCCCACAATCCAGTCAGGAGTAATACTAATTACATAACTATCACCATCTTTAGTGTCCTCAACAACCCAACGCTTTTGATTGCGGTGTATACGTGCTGGCCTTCGCCGAGAAAGTCGCCAAGAACAACGAGATTCCGCCCACCCTTGACGGAAACCTAGAACGAGTCTGCCTTGGGGGTGCTGTCCTTACATCTTGGAACTGCGTCCCGCGTGCCGAAGAGCTGGTACCCCTGGGCCCGCACATCCCGCGCACCACGGTCGAGCGGGTGGCACTGGTCAGGCTGCTCCGTCATCGACAGACCAATCTCCGCGCTCTAATGCAAAGCTACGAGACGCAGCCGAATCAGACCAGCGTCACGTCCTTGCGCACAGGCCAGATCCATTCCTTGACAGAGGCGGAATGGCGTGACTGCCAACAATCGACATTGGCTGGCATCATCCTCAATGAGATGACGGAGCACCGTCGTGATTTGGAGAGTGCTCTTCGCTCACACAACACTGTCAATATGTTGGAAACGGTCCAACCGCTTGATTCTGCCTTAAGGGAGCAGATCAAGGGCTTCATAGCAGCCATGGATGCTCGCGATGCCGTTAGACATGAAGAGGCAGCAGGCGCAGGAATGCTTGGCAAACAGGCCGAGGACCGAAAGACGAGAAACTGTGCAGCCATGTACATGAACGCCGTCCTGGCAGAGGGGTCGTGGGACGAATCAGCCGAGTCTGATGCACAGAAGCGGCATCTAGCTCGAGAATCAACGCAGGATGGCTACGTCAGAAGCTGCGTGCACATACTGATCCTCCGCTACATGATGACTAAATTTCGCTTGATGAACGGGACAGGCGGAAGATGACGCGACATGAGGTGTGATATCAGATAGGACATGGACGAGGGAGCAAGCATTATGAGGTTAGATTAGGGACGGCAAGTCTGGCATTTCTTTTATTTCTTCTCTTAGGGCAAGTCGGGTTCATGTTATCATAGTTGCATTACGCACGTAGCAGCTTGGGTGGGTCGCCCGCCTGGCGTGACACGAACTAGTGCACTGGAGTAATCAATAGGTATAGATTGCTTCAGTTGCTATATAATATACGAGTCCGCGCTAGCGTAAGCTAAGATTTTGTGTGTCGAGATACCTAGAATGAGCCATAAACACTAGGCCAAAGACTAGGCTCAGTGAATGCGAAGGAAATGTTTACTTGACGATAACGCTTATACCCCCGATCTGGTACGTAAGGAGTAATCCCACAAGGGCTACATAAAGCAGCCACCACATAGATACACAGATAGAAGGTCAATCAACTACATACACACCACACCATACCATAACACGATCAGTCAGTAATCAGTGAGTGACGTACTTGGTCAACATCGGCCCCACTTTACTTCCCTGCTTTAACCTGCACTTACTCCGTACAGTAAAACAGGTACGTAGGTACCTACGGTGATTGCTATATGATACTGCACGCATGCAGTCTCGGGAGACGAGCAGGAATCAATAACCACCTGATGATGCATCCATCGCCTTGTCAAAAGACGCGACAGTCGCAACACCTTCATCCACCTCAAGAACAAGCCCATCGCCGCCACTATTACTTTCCCACTGTCACTGACCGCCTTCAGTTACCACTCGTAAATCAAAGATAACCGAGACTGTAGATTGAAAGATGGGAAATGAGCGGCAGCGGACATTGGTTCAGCCAGAGAAGACAAGCGCTCTGTCTGCAGTGGCACGCCCGCCTGTGTGGGCATCGTGCAGACTTATGCAAACTCTCAAACATTACAGTCACCAATTTGGAAGGTGAATCTGGTCTGGTCTTCTGCTTCTTCCCGATGCCCTAGAATGAATATAGTGCAGCTACCTAGAGGACCTATGCTCATAAAACGGCGCTCAGACGGACGAGGGAGGGGCAGGTGAAGCAGAAGTGGTGTGAGTTGAGCGAGGAATGAAGGTGAAGGGATGTGTGGAAAGAAGCAAATAAAGGCATCATGAGGGGGTAAGGCGGCCAGGCATTGAGGAAGGGCTGCCATTAGGTTCATGTCGGTCGGCAGCTGAGGGGATGCGGCCGTCAATACTTGATTAATCAACAAGGATAGATAGGCAACAAAACGAACGAATAATCACGAATAGGTGACTAACAGACAAATCTAATAAGTTTAAGAGGAGGGAAAATGTTACAAGTTAGAGCACACAGCAGGGCATATAGGAATGAAGGTCTAAAAGGCTTAATTCTAAGTAAGTAGAAGTAACAAAAGTTAGATCCTATATATAACTTACATGCATAGCGAGCGGCGCATCATAGCGAGCGGCGCACCTTAAGAAAAGTGGGGTATACCATGATGGACAACAAGACATCTAGGAAAAGTGAGATAGAGAGATAGATGATACATTATATGACACCCTCGCGAGCCCCCAGAGACCAAGTGTCTTTCTGACCATTCGTGCCAAGACGCGCTTAGGCTCACCGCTTTTCAAAAGTGACAAGAAGTAAAACAAAAAAAAGGGGAACAAAGCCACCACCAAAAAACGGTCAGAGCACTCAGTCAAAACCGTCCTTCTTCTATTCTGTGGTGTGGCATAGTCTCAAGACCAGCCAGCCAGTCAACGTTGAATCAACCCTGCAAGACGAACCCGTCCTTTGCAAGATCCGCATTGTCCAGGTCTGACCGTACCCACCGTCACGGGTGGAACTGGAGGCAGAGTCGAGACTGGGATTCGTGCCACGGTCAATATGGACGAGCTGGTGGATAGTGCAAAGATTTTATGCTGTGACGTGAGGTAGGCAGTCGATGGTGCCGTAGATGGATTGGACGGGCCCGCGACGGCGGACATGCAGGCTGTGAGGGACGCCAGGGGTTGGGACGAAGCTGTTGCTGAAGGCCATGTTGACGACCTGCGTGTCTCCGTATCGAGGAGTGGTGGCGGCAGAGACGGGCGAGGGAAGGCAGACGCGGATGCGCGAGACGGTGCAGGAGGATGGAGACGATGGAGACGATGAGAATGGAGACGGCGAAGGTGAGGATGGCGAAGGCGGCAAAGGCGGCAAAGACGCCGATAATGGCCATATCAAAGATGACGGGACCGGCTGCGACTTGGTAGGGGGTGAGGCGGGCATTTGAGCAAATCTTCGAGGCTGCTTCTTCTTGGATTGAGTCCTTGGGTCCAGGTGAGCTGACGGGTCAATAGCAACATGAAAGAAGAAGGATCAACAAATGAATGAAGGAGTGAATGAATGGTACAAGAGCGCCACAATGAGACCGGTGGTGCAAGGGGGATAAATAATGAAGCGACGTCAAACATCCAAAGTCAACAAGGAATCCGAGAATGTACCGACTACGTACCGAGTACTTGCAAGGTAGCTGTCTATGCGGTGGAACAACCAGAAATAAACCTGGTTTGCTGAGTACATACCCCCCCTCCCGCCTGCTTGTTTGTTTGCTTCGGTTCCTCATCCGGTCACACATGACAAAGCAATGCGCCGCGCTGACGGAAAGATGAGTGTTTTAAAGGACGATTATTATTAGGTAAGTGACTGGGTCCGCCTCTTTCGTCTCTTCTGGGAGAAGGAATGCGCATAGAGTGGCATGGGAATGGCGGAGACTTGTGAGTCTAATGGTGTGTGTGGGCTGTCAACCCGGCCAGCCATGGGGACTCGCCACAATTCTTCCTTCTTCCGGCCCGGCCACCGGCGTTCGCACAGCCGGAGCGCATTTCCAACAAGCTAATTACTGCCTAAGGCCATAACGTCTTCTTTCTTCTGCCAGCTTTCACTTACGCTTGCCAATTTACCAGCGAACAAACCCTCCGTCGTTTTCGATGGCTGCGAGGAGGAGGAGGAGGAGGGGTTACGAGAGAAGAACAGTCCGCCACCTCCAGCGGTGCAGCCAAAGCCCAGTCCACCATCTCTCCCCAGTTCGCAACGGACACGGCCGCCCTTGAAAGAGCCAGACACAAAGTTCTGGTCAACAAAACAGGCAACGACTCGGTTCGAAAACCGCCCGCGCAAATAGCTACTCGAAATGGTTCTGCAAAGGCTGGCCGATACGAGCTGAGGGCACAAGCACAGCACACAGCAGAGCATACCCAGTCATGACATCCTGATGGAGGGAAAAGGCCATCGTAGCTGAGAGGTTGGGTCGCCAAGACGGAGGCCGCGTCGCTTCGCGTCGGTGACGGTGGGTGGCATTCTGGTTATCACAAGGGTGTGGAAGTCCGAGTGTAGGTTCAGAAGAGGGCAAAGGCATCGACGGCGAGCATGAGGACGGCAGTGATGACAAGGAAGAGAGCAGCGGGCAGGGTCAAGCGAGGAGCGATGCGCGGCGAGGGAACGGCGATGGGGTGGGGTCTTGGGTCACCAAAGTAACAGATATAGCTGAGCTTGGGACGCGAGAGGGTGACGCAACAGCAGATGTGATCGTTTCCGCATGGCAGTATCATTATCGAGGTCGTCGTCGTCCTGTGTGTGCCTGGACGCGAGTGTGTTTGCGGTCAAGGCTGAGAAATCAGCGCATACCTATGCAGCTGTTGCCGCTTGTGCATTGGCGGTCAGAGGCCGCTGTTAGATGGATTAACTGCAGCTGTCAATCTCCGCCGTTGTTGTTGCCGCATCTTGGTCATTTCTGCAATCAAGGCGCGATCCGCTTGAGGTGGCCCAATTTCGATACCAAACATCATTCCATAGCCCTGCTACAAACTCGGCCTTATTTCCACTGTCCACATGACTGCATGCTGATGCCTGGTGACCGGGGCCGACCACATTCAACCACGGCTCATGGCAAACTTCCCGTCTCCATTCTGCCTCCATCCTGCCGCTCGCCGTCGTGCATCTCGGTCTCTTTCAAGCTCCAAAGCTCACGCACACGTTACTTGAGATGCTTTTGTGTCGCGCCTTCGTGGCATCAGCGTTTCCATCGGTCTTCATCCGACTGAACTGAAGCACACGGTGTGGGTTTCTTCTAGGTTTGTCAACTCATGTCAGCACACCCATCAGGAGAGCCATTCAAGACCGACTGCGTATAACGGAAAAGGTGTCGTATAGAGAGAGAGAGAGAGAAAGAGAAGGCGAGTAGAGATTATCTTACTAGTTTGACTGTTAATGTGCCGCAATGATAGAGATGCAGATTAGCAGGCGGGTAGCCTTGGCTACATGTACGTCTTCAATGTCCATCGGCCTGAACCTGCCAAGATGTGTGTTGTAGGTTACCACCATTTACATGCAGTCTCGTCTCCAGAGCCTTAAGCCGACTCTCAAGACGTCTTCTCGTCGCGCCGCTCCCCACCGCTGACATGTAATACGAGTACCCACAGCCGTTGAAATCGCGGGGTTGAGGTGTCAAGGGTTGCCAGGCTTCAGGTATAGAAGAAGAAGTCCTCTCAACCAAGTAATCAAGGAACGGAACAATTCCGTTGGCGCAGACAACCATTAAGGCAGTAACACCGCGCGTACCAAATGGCGCAGTTGCCCAGTTAGCTCCTCTCTCAACAAGGAGCCTTGCAGTATCTATTTGATTGTGTGTTAAGGCTATGTGCAGCGCTGTTACCCACGGTAAGCCGTCGTCGTTAGGAGCAACATCTAATGTGGCGGCTGAGTATGCCTTAGTGTGTCTCGAAGGGCAAAGGCATGGTGGGACAGTAGGTATGTCGACAGGCTTCATGACCCAAGGGCTAGCAATGCTGCCAAGATGAGGCCAGAGTACGGATCGGTGGTAGATAGCTAGATGTTCGCGGTCAAGCAGCCAGCGGACCACATCAGTATTGCCGTTCCGGGCAGCTGTGTGGAGGGCATTTGACATGGTGTGTGGTGGGATAGGGAGGTCCGTGGGGGACCATGGGCGGCGGGTTATGCCGCAGGTGGTGCTCGGGATTAAAAAAATGGCCCAGATATGCCTGAGGTCGGCGCGCTCGATAGCGACAAGGAAGGCGAGAGCGAGGTCGGGCGGCTGCAAGGAGGCCCATAGCACGACCGGCAATGACGCCGCCTTTGTGTTTTCGTAGCGATAAGCAGCAGCAGCGCAGGAGGGAGGCGGCAGAGTAGAGGCAGAAGAAGCAGAGGTAGTAGAGTCTGAGAGGAAGGTCGGATGCCCAAGCGGCATGCGAAAAGCCCCCTCGAACTGCGCGTCATCTGGAGGCAGCACATGGTCGTCGTCTATATTGCCTGCGCCTGGGGGTGACAGATCGAATCCGTAAACGAGACTACCAGGATCTCGCATCCTGCACCGATCTTGGGCAAGGGCCAATGTGAGGAGGGACTGGCATGCCATGGCCGACAGGGTCTTGGAGGTGATGGATAGGGCTCGGAGGGTGGGGAAATGATGGATTTCGAGGACAATACGAGCCAAGACCTCGGAAGGCAGCACAGGCGTGTTCAACATGATTTATCGCCGGATTTGCTGATGTTGCTAGTAGATGGCTGAAAAGCCTCGCGTGTCGTCGCCCGTAGAATGAATGAATACCCGGTACCTATTCCAGCGGCACTTATTGTGAGTAAGAGCGAGGGAAATCAGCCGGACGGGCGTCGCAAAGCTTTGCTTGGATCGACCTACCTCAGTAGTCCGTTTGCTTATCTGTCTGGGTAATATTGTTGTAGAAAGTGGACGACGAAAACATCATCAACGAGGTTGTGGACTGATGGAAGTAGGAAGCTTTGACGGCAAGGGGGCAAGAAATACAAGGGTGGACGGATCCAGGAAGGAAAGACGACAGGGGAGTACTCGTACTAATCCTAATGCGTCTTAGCGGCGGCGGACGCACAGCAAAACCGGCCGCTGGAAAAGTGGGTCTGCGGCTCTGTTGCTTGCATCGCAGCAAGAGCCCCGTTCTTAGAGAGGCCTACCTGCCTGCCTGGGTGGTAAGAAGTCGCAAAGCTGCATCCAGATATCTAACTACCTACCTACCTGACATTCTCAGGCGGAATACGTACGTACGTCATTGATGACATGCTGTTAAGAGCCGAGGCAAGTGGCAGCAACATCATTGCTTGCTTGCACTTCTTACCTTGGTGATTACCTACTAGATAAGGTAATGGACATGAACGTCGCGGGGTGTCCCGCGTGTACAACAAACCATACCACGTCATGACGCGTCATTCTTCACACATGGTCAAGGGAACAAACATGTTGAGGTACTTTTGTAATGGTCCTTCCGCAGCTTCAAATCAGAAGCAGAAAAGCTTGTGTATGAATAAAAAATGAAAAAAGAAGAAGAAGAAACGAAAAAAGGAGAAGAAGCAAGCCAAGACAAGAAAAAATAGAAAAATAAAAGAAAGAAAAAGAAAAGGAAAAGCAACGTTGTATTCACAATAAGCTCTGGTAGACGGCCTTGTAGTATGCGCGCAGTTCGTTAGGTAAGAAGGGGATAATGTGATGGCTGCCTGGATGGCGAGTGACGATGTCGGCGTTGCGCAGGACGTGCAACCCGCAGTCGAAACCGTTGGGCTGCTGGGGGCACTGCGAGGACACGATCCAACGTCAGCCTAGTACAATATCTCGTGGCATGTTTTGTCGTCTCTCTCTCGGAGACGTCTCGGAGACGCCACGTCGCAATCTTCTTACTTACCATGGCCGTCCGCGGCTCGGGGAGCGCCACGTCGGTGCCCCACACGCACCGGAGAAAGTCGTTTAAAACAGCCACCATCCGAGTCTTGTAGCCGTTGACAAGGAGGGAGTCGAAGTAGTCGATTGTGTCCATGCCATGGCCTACAAACAGCACCCAGTGGCCTGAGTCACACACAGGCATAAGCCAAAGATCGGTCATTGCTAAGGACCGAAACCGCTTCCGCAGCGCAGCTGGGATCCGCTCGGACTGGGACCGCTGGAGGATGGTGCTTTCTGTAGAACCGACGCGCCCGAAGCGTAGGTTCCTTGCAGAAAAGTCCCGGAGGATCACGTCGATGGCATCGTCATTAAGCCACATGCCAGGCTCGAACACACGTAACCGCGCCTCGTGGTCCTCGTGGCTCTTATTGTCGAGGATTGCATCAACGTCCTGCTCGGTCAAGTCTATCTAATTGTCAAGAGTCAGTATCTGTTACCTACACATGGCGCCTAACCAAAACACTACAGAGATTCAATTGATACTTACGGGGCTGGGGGCTGGTTCATCCTTCTTGGTGCTAGCTGCCTCGGGTGAACCAGGCTTGCCATCCTCGGGCTTAACGCTGGCGCGGGCGGGGGCTCGGGGCAGCGCGACGGATCGGCGGTTTCCATCGGACCTGAGGCATGCCCGGAAAAGATGGGGCGTGACGCCGCCATCTTGGAGTTGAGCGGACCGGCGGGCGTCGGACTGGCGCTGGATCTTATGCTTCTGGGGATTGGACATGGTCGCTCGAGCTTCGAGTGCCAGAGATGTGTTCGAGTCGGTTGTATGAAAAACGGACAAGAAAAATAAGAAAGAATAGTCGACGAGAAGATGCGGCGAGAAGATAGCACGGAAGAAGAGAGATACAAGGAGACGAGGTAACAAAATAAAAGGTTGCGCCTGTCGTCTACCTAAGAAGTCACGATGCCTGGTTGTGATTACATAATGCTGCATGCCGTGTACGTGGGATCTGGTGATAACTTGAGCCTGTTGCACGACGATGAGACCAAGGATCTATAAAAGGACTACTATATAGCATGAGACGGTACCGAACTCAAGGAGGGTTTCCTCTCCCTAGTCTTTCCATGTAACTTTCAGCGTTGCTAACTAGGCTGTCTGCAATGCATTATTACTAACGTCCCGTGCTGGCAGTAGAGGATCTAGGCCCGCAGCCCGGGCAGCTAGCTGATCTACAGTCTCTCTATTGTTAAGACGCAACTACGACAAGACACAGTGAATGAGGCCTATATTCCATTGGATCACGCTGGATCCTTCATACACACACGCGTGCCACACTCTTTGTGAGAACAGGTACTGGAAATATTGGACGGAACGAGCGCTCCTCTTTTCGGAGGCGCCGCAAGAACACAGTAGCGCGCTTAATTAAACGAAATAAAGATGGAAAGAGAAAGCAACATGCGAAAACAATCATCAACCCCGAAACAGAAGATAACAAAAACAAAACACTACAGACACAAAAGACACCAAGCACAACAATCACCCCCGCCGTTTACATCATCTTCACACATATAATCACAGATAGTCAGTCACCATTTCCTTCGTCTTTTGTTTCGCACGCTTAGTCATCACGGCCCGGCGACCTGGCGGCAAGAGATGCCCGTAGTGGCGCTTGGCGGCCCGCGACACGGCCTTCGACGCAGCATCCGCCAGGACCTCAGCAATGTCTTGGATCTTTTCGGCACCAAGCCCGTTCTCTCCTATCTCAGCAGCTTCGGCGGCAGCGGCAGTAGCTCTCTCCTCGGCGCAACGTCGACGACGCGCGGAAGTCTCGGCCGTGTCCTTCTTCTTCTTGGCGGCAGCCAGACCGAGCTCGCGGACCCTCTTGTACTTCTTGGACACAGGAGCCAGCGGGATGCCTGGCTGCCCGAAGAGATCCCCCAAAACACCGTCCACTGATACGTCCGACTCGTCGTCGTCTGACTCAGGCATTGGGGGCGGGGACGGAGTCCGGCTGTACCCGAATTCGAGGGCGGAATCCAGGGGGGGCAGCGAGGTGGTCGTCAACCGTAAAGACGGGCGCTTGGACTGGCCGAGGGCGGGGGGCGCGAACTCGTCGTCGGCGGCAAGAGGGGGACAGAGAGGATCGGCGCGCGGGGCTTCGGGCTCCGGCTCAGACACTGGGGCAGGGTCAGGGGTGGGAGCGGGAGCGGCTGGCTTGGGTCTCGGGGCGGCAGCGGCTGGGAACGTTCTCTTGACACGACGCAGGGATTCCTGAGCCACGCGCTTCGTCAGGCCCGTGCTCCGGGTTTCGTTGACAACCTGCCAGATGATGCCGCGCTGGGGGGACTGCGCCCAGAGGTCAAACAGCGGACGGCCCTGGGAGTGCGCAAGCCAGTGCTGCGTCATGGACTTGAACGGCGTAAGCACATCGAGCGAGGGCGGGTCGGTGCTGGGCCTGCAGGTGTCGGGGTACCACTGGCCGTTGGGCCAGTGGTTTCGGAGGTAGGTCATATGCGACTGCACCAGGTTTTGGCGTGGCGTCGTCGTCACACCCTGGTTGGCAAGGTGGGCTGTGATACCGGCGGCGTGGTTCTCAGTGTGGTGAATGAGGGCTGCGGCCTGGTGACCAGTAATGGTAGGGGCGGCAGACGTTGCCCAGCGGCCCAGGTTGGCATCGGTTGGGTGCTGGTAAAACTGGTAGCTTTGAACGGCGGTCTATATACAGCAGGGGGAACCATGCGTGATTAGCGTGATTCTTAACAGCTCGCGCATGTCTGAGGCTTCCTCCTTAAGCCTGCATTCCTAGAGGGGATGATGTAGGCTTACGAGGGATCTGGTGCTGGCGAAGGGGCCAGGTTGCTGCTGCTGGTGCTGATGCTGCTGGTGCTGGTGCTGCTGGTGCTGTTGCTGGTGATGCTGGCTTTGGTCTGAACCCATGATGATGATGCCGTCCAGTAAGACAGACAGACAGACAGACAGACAGACAGACAGACAGACAGACAGACAGACAGACAGACAGAGGGACAGAGGGACAGAGGGACAGACAGACAGACAGACAGACAGACAGACAGACAGACAGACAGACAGACAGACAGACAGACGGACGGACGGACGGACGGACAGACGACAGAAAGAATCAAGACACACAAGCATCTCAAAGATGATGTTCTCGACCCAGGGACTGTGTTCGAAGCCCCTCTTGCTCACTGTGCAGGTGCAGTCGATTGGTCGGACCTTCCACCAATTCTTCGTTGACTTATTGTTAACTTCTTTCTTCTTCTTCCCTCTTCTCCCCTCTCGGCAAGTGCTCCGAAACCTCTTCGTCCACTATTTTCCCCTTCTCTCTCGTGAGTCATGCCCGTCCAAGTGGAGGGTTCTGTGAGTTGGATCAACAGATCTTTTTCTGACGTGTTACTATTAGATTTCGACTCAGCCTTACAATCGTCATGTACCCGAGCTCCAGTCCCGCCGCCGCCCCCTCCCCTCCAATCCAAGTCCTTCTCGACATCGACGCCGGCCATGACGACGACATGCTGGGCAGACTTGCCAATCCCGATGCGCAGTTTGACCCATTCCACGATGAAGCACAAGTCTCCGCCGCTGAGCCCAACCCCGAGCCCGACTCTCCCTTGGGTACTCCCTCTGCCGAGCCTGAGTCCCCCTTCAGTACCCCCCCTCCCGAAGAGGTCAGACACGAAAGAACAATGCCCTTCCGCTCGGCTCACTCTCGCTGACCCTCCTAGATCCGTCCTTGGACGGAAAATGAGACTCGAAGACTCGTCTCCTTCCTCAGAACGGCTCGCGAGCCCCTCAGCGTTGGCGAGACTGCCGAGCACATGAGCCGCAGCCTGACAGATACAGCTGCAATGGTGGTTTGTCTCTGGCTTTCTGCAATCCGTGCGTCCGAGGCCCGTGGCGCCCGCATCGCCTGGTGGGTCGGCAGACCAATCTTCAACTCCACCGGCCTCGGCCGTGTCACTGTCTTCTGCCGCGACGGCAGTCGAGTAATGATGCGCCTGTATAACGCAGATGGAGGCTTGGACGCTGAGGGCTCTATCGAAAGCCCTAGCCAGATGTACGATGAAGGAACATTTTGAGCTAACCTCCTGCTGATACCTGCCTTATGTTGTTGAAATTGGAGACCAGTTCGGTTATCCAGGCTATTTTTTGTGTCTGCGCTGATCCTCTAGTTCTGAAGTGACCAATGTTGAAGTCGTTTCCTGGCGTGATTTGCTTGTGCCGATGTTTATTTCTTTATCAGCCTAGCGCAAACCAGGAAGCTATTCCATCTGCAACGAAAACATGGCAGAAGACAACAAGTGCTCTCGAAAAGCCTTGTCGTGTTGGAACAACTGGAATCGACATAAGAGCGCAAGAGGGAATGACTTCTTGCCCCGTGACCCTCTTTAACCTCTGTCTACGCCACAAACGCAACCCTGCAGCAAACAAATCATCTGCGGCAGTTCATTGCAGTGCTTGTACAACGGTTGGCTAGGCTCCCTTGAACGTAGGTTCCTGCTTCTACTCGCAACGACCGCGCTTTATGTTTCTTACATACCCATCCATCCAGAGACACACACCACTATATGAATTTGAGAATAATACAACAACATGGTTTGCCCCGAAGCGCCCTTGGGGTTACAACCACCTAGCAACAGAACGCACAGCACGAAGACAAAGATTAGGCTTAAAAGAATATCGACCAATGTGGTGGACAAGCACAACGAGTCCTTGACAAGCTAGAGGACTACTTGTGCGCCGAGGGACTTGGTGTCGGACGTGGGCATGTTGAACAACCTCTGAAATGTCCCGAACCAGCACGTTGGCATACTCCGTCACAACGATGTGTCCGCTGATAGACAAGCTGGAGGCCTCTAAAGGAGGTTAAGGAACTGTTCTTTACGTGCTAATGAAGCAAAGAGTGCACCAAGCTGGCCGCGATGCTAAACAGAGCTCCGCCATCCTGTAGGCGGATTTACTACCTTTCTTGTTTGTCGGCAGAGGAGACCCCGACTCAGTTAACTTCAAGCTTAATTACAACGACAATAACAAGAAAACCCGTTAGCATCCAGACCTTCCATTTCTATTTCTATGCCTGACTGTCCCTCAGCCAGATCCTCTGTGCGTCCGCGTCACAATAGCTCCATCTACCAGACCGACACCTCATACCCAGGCATCCCGTTCCCCAGCCTCCCTACGGAATCACACGAGTAATTAAAGGCGTCGATCTATACGTCCTCAACAATAAAAAACGACAAACACTATCGCGATAATTGTCTCGAGATATATAAGGCGTTAGTTACTGCCTGTAACTAACGATGTCGTTTTGCTACGTGACAATAATCCATTCTCCAACAGGCCGAGCCGATTGCTTCTCCAACGCGATTCGCCTCGACCACGGTCTCTAGATCGGGAAACAAAGACTGAGGAAGCCCGGTTGTGCTACCCGGCTTGCCGCGCCCCTGCTCCAAGTGCTTTCGGCAGATTTACTTGCCGACCGCTACTATCTATGTACTCTGCAACTATTGCCTTGCCCCAGCGATCAACAAGATCATAAGCGGCACGCAGCAGGCAGGTCGTACCTCCTGATAATTGCAGTGCTAGTCACATAAGTCGGTTGAGGTAGCAATTAATCGCGTGATTTCGCGCTCTGTATCTTAAAGAGCCTTAACCTCGTGGCTTGAAGCGCAGCCAAAACAACGGCAATAGACAGGGACCCAAAGCATCTGTTTACAAGAGCGTCACAGGGAAGCAGGCCTGGAACTACATTAGACGACATCTCACCCGTTCTCAACGATGCCACAGAGGCATGGCTTCGAGTCTGTCGGCCTGTGATGAAATTCCCCGCCTATCGCCACTTTTCCCACTGCTATCTAGATATCACTATCTTATTCCCTCTTGACTTGGTCCGTGACCGCATGCAAAGAAGATTAGCCGACATAACTAAATCAGACTCCTCCTAGTTCGTTGAGCATGGCAAGCAGCGTAGGGTCTCCAAGTCAATGGGGGATTGTGGGGCCTAATAATGAGTGGGAGACGACAGCCTTCACGGGTGTCTGGAAAACGGAACTCCGGGGGCGACATTCAAGATTGGACGAGTGGGAAAGAGGCTTGTGCTGGACTTTGCCTGCGGGCCATCCCCACGAACCAAATAAGGTGACGGGCTTGAAATTCAACACAAATTGTCCTGCTCTAAACATGAGTACTCTGGAGCAAGCTCGCTAATAATATAAATAGGGCCCACGCCCCAGGAACCCGGGTATTCAGGTCCAATGCGATGTCTCTCATACTGTATAACCACCCTCTAAAGCACTAAGACTCTTTCTTTTCCTTCCGTTGTACTCATAAACGGGCGTGTCATAATCGTGATGGGAAAAATGGGTTTTGGCGTAACTTAACAACATGCAGCTCCCGCTTCTCAATCTTCGAGCGCATCTCTAGCTTGTACTTGCGGGCACTTCGTAAAGGCGTAGCGGAGGACGAGCGATAGGGCGTGGCAGTCCGAGTAGCAGTCGCTGGCTCACCGACCCGCCTCCTCTACAGCGTCGTCTTGTATATTGAGCTTTTCGACCATGGACAGTCCGGTTAAAATGCTTCGAGCCGCAACCTCCATGATCTTGTACTTTGACTGGAGGCAGGTACCAACAGGACAAGGAATTTGGTCCTGGTCTGGTGCTAGAGCCAGCAGTTATCCATGTCGCTCAAGAAACGACTCGACACTGTTTTGGACATCCTGTTACCATGACCTTCCTTTCATAAGCACACCTTGTCCGGCTGTCAGCCTCAATCGCCTTGCGCAGCGCCTCAGTATGTATATTGTGGAGGCTGTTGATGATGCCGCCAAGGATACACATGTGCTCCTGGCGCGCCTCATTTCGGGTTAGTTGATATACATAAGCTTCCAGGGGTGAAGGCACGTTGTAGGCAGGAGAATAGTCCCAGAGGCTAATGATCTGCAGTCGTCGGCGGCGTATCTCGTTAAGCTGCCGACCCTAGGTGATAGAGCATGAACGACTCAGATACTTCTTCGGGTCTCAGCGCAGCTTTCCACAATTTCAACATGGCTTGCCGCAGCTTGTGCACGCTCGATGTGGCTTACTACAGGGGGCGCCAGGAGTTGACTGGTCTCGAGGTGCCCGGCAGCCCGGATGGCGAGCAAGCCGTAATCCCATGTGTTTTGCTACTGCAGACACTTGAAGGTTGTTTAAGCCGTTGTTAGTTACTGGTGAACACTGGATAGGGCCTGAGGGATATCCGCCTACGTACCTCAACGTCCTCAAAGGTCGGGGCTAGATCTGGTCTGCAGACCTAGTAGAGGAACTCGGTGACGCCTTCAGCCGGTGAGTTACTGCCAGAAGCGGCGAGGGAGGCGTAGTGCCGCTGTATGCCAGAGGCGTTTTGCCACGTGTGTAAGACCTAATGATATTTAGGATTAAAAGGAACGATGACCATGGCATTGGACAATGCCCGCGCGTGCCGTCTGCGAATTGCATCGGTTTTGGCCGGTGCAATAACGATGGGATCGATGACTGCTGTATCCGTACTCTTGAGCAGCCTGGTGAAGACGTGCATAACGGTGTCATCGAGCCAAGACGTAGGGTACAGACTGCCGAATCTTGTCATTAAATCCGATAAATCTGAGGGAGCTTGAAGAGGTTGAGGAGCTTAGGGCTGGGCCGGCTGTCGAGAGCCACGTGTGGTGGAGGCCTCGTTGTCTAGGTTAATCACGACCAAGCTGGCAGATTGTGCCTTTTTCGGGAGCGGCGGAGATAATGGCTGACATGTTTGGTGAATTGTCGAATTAAGATGTTAGCCACTAAGACGTTCAGCCAGGGTCTTGGCTGATGACGTCTCGTCAACTACTTTAATTAAGTCTGCTTACGCTTTAGGCTTTGATAGGGTCTTGGGTTTCGGTTTGCCTATAATTAGAATAGTTG